TCCACTCCTCTGTTTCTCTTGGAGGGGAGGAATAAAAAAGGAATAAATACCCAGACTTATGATGTTTCTGCAAAACAACAACTGCTCTGTGTGTGTGTGTGTGTGTGTGTGTGTGTGTGTGTATGTGTGTACTGATATTTTTCAGGTTCATAATGAGAGAAGACACAAGACCTTCAGGAAAATAGGCACTTTGACAGACCATTGGTGAGCTGTGAATTGGTCTTACCATTCTGGAAATTAATATATTTTTAAATTTTTTATTTATTTCATTTTAAATTTGTGGAATAAAACAAGCGTTTCCATAACAGTATAATAAAAAAAGAAAAGGTGATTGCACATGAAACTGCGAATCTATTATGTACAACTTCTTATTCCTTTTAAATGTGTAATATAGTAATGTAAATTTCTTTTCTCTCCAGCTCCCCAACCTAGAGATCACTACCATTACACATGAATATGTATATATGTGTAAATTTATTCTATATATACTTCTGTTATTAATTCTTTCTCTGCATGCTAATAGCATTTATTGCATTATAATTTGAAAGGACACTTTTAATATTTCTGCTTTCACTATAAAATTTTTATGTCCCAATATGTGGTCAATCATTGTAAAGATACCATGAAGTGCTGAGAAAAAAGGTTTATCTCTTTCTCTTTTCATTCAAGTCCTTTAAAATATCTATCATATCTGGTTTACCTACATTTTTTTCACTTCCTTGACTTTTTCTCATTTATTTCTGGGTTAGATTATCAGTTCTGAGAGGGAAAAGTTAAAATCTCCCACCATTATAATACTACTACCTATTTCCATGTGTAATTCGTTTAACTTTTCTATTAAAAACTTGGATGTTACAGCATTTGATGCATATAGGTTCGGTACTGATATTGCTTTATTATTCATAGTACCTTTTATCAAAATGTAGCTACCCTGTTTATGTCTTTTAATTGAATCTATTTTAGCAATAACTTTTTTCTGAGATCATGATTGCATCTGCTGAAAAATACTAAATTCTACTATAACCTATTTTCACACTGTGTGTATCTCTCATACTTAAATGTGTTTCATGTAAACAACATATTTGATTTTGCCTTTTAATCTATTCTGCTGTCTGTTTACATTTTATGGGTTGGTGAATTCATCCCATTCACATGCAAAGTTATAATTACTATTTGGGAATGTCCCTGTTATTTTATCTTCTCCTCTTACCCTTCTATTCTTCATTCTACTCACTCCTCTGAGTCTCTCTCTTATCCTCTCCCCCCCATACACTGTTTTCCCCCCAAGACTTTCAAATCTTAATCTCCACACCCTTCTAAAATTTCTTCCCCAACTCTGCTTCTACAAATCCAGAAGACTTTTCCATCCCATAAGATGTAAATAGTTTGCTCTTCAACCAAGATCTGAAGAGAGTAAGTAAGATTCCAACATTACCAGTCCTCCACCTCCATCTGCTTCTTCTTGTATCAGTTCTTTTTTCATGTCCCATTATTGAGATAACTGTTCCTTTTTATCTTTTCCTGCCCAATTCTGTTTTGGGAATCATCCCATCACAGACAACTCAGATCCAACATTTATGTCAAACTACCCTAGTAATGATGACACTTTTAAGAATACTAATAGCATTTTCATATATAAGATGTAAACAGTTTGACCTCAATAAGTCCCTTATAATTACTTTTAATATTTTTCTTATCTTTCTTCTGGATCTTTTGTATCAAATTTACATTGAGTTCTAGTCTTTTTGTCACAAATACCTGAAAGTCTTTCAGTTAGTCCAATATATATTTTTTGGATATATTATCCAAATGCATAGTATAGCATATAGAGACACAGTATACTTATACTCAACTTTGCTGGACAAGTAATTCTTGCTCACAACCCCAGCACTTTTGCTCTTTCAAGTATAATATTTCAAAACCTATGGTCTTTTCATGGAAAAGCTGCTACATCTTGTGATATCTTGATTGTATCTCTACAATGTCTAAATTGTTTTTTTTCCCCTTATTGCTTGTAATATGATCTCCTTAATCTGGAAATATTGAAATTTGACTATGAAATTCTTGTAAGTTTTCCATCCAGGCTCTCTTTTAGGTGGTGAACAGTAGATCATTTTCTATTTCTACTTTTTAATTAGAGTAGGAGGGTGAAATATGTAGTAGTAAAGATAGTAATAGTGGTAGTAGTACTAGTAGTAGAAGTACTACTAGTAGTAGCTATTGTTGTTGTAATAATAATAATTTCTGGTAAAATTTATACAATACTTACAATGTGCCAGACACTGTACTAAATGCTTAACAGTTATCAGCTCCTTTGATCCTGTCACTATAGCCTTGGGAGATAGGTGCTATGATTATCCCCATTTTATACATAAAGGAACTGAAGTAAACAGAGGTGAAATGACTTTCCCAGGATCACATAGCCAATAAATGTCTAAGGCTGGATTTTAACTCAGGTCTTTGTAATTCCAGGTCCAAGACCCTGTCCAAGGTACCACCTCACTGCCATCACATTGTGATCAGTTAAGCTGTCATCGTAGTAAGACACACGTATGTGTTGAAGTATGTGACATGAGACTTTTAAGGGCAGAAAATGGCTCCTAAGCAATTGGTGGTGGATAATTACACACAAGTATAGGATAGAGGCCCTACTAAAAAGAATCTTAAGATTTGGTGAGGAACACAAGAGGATCAATAAACATGTCGGAAAGAACACACAACGTAAGATGCATATGTGTAATTCAGGCTTAGATTGAATTATACAGACTATAAGAACTAAAGAGATCACAGGGATATGGCACCTAAATTGTGATTAGAAGGGTGGGTGAGATTTCTGTCAGTGGATGTTGAGGGCCGATCTTAAGAGTCTGATAAGGGTTTAAGATCCAAGGCAGAGTTTGACCTCTGCTCAGGCTTTCATCCCAAAGGGCTCAGGGGATTAAGTGGTACGGCTCCCCAAATTCCTTCCTGATAAAGAGGTCTCTGAGACATCCCTTCTCTCTCTTTGAACCTTAGGTTTACATATTTACTCCTCTATGCAGGTGGCGCCTAGGTGCCTGGGAAAACCTTGGAATCTACAGCCCAATCTAGGAACCCTGATAAGGAGGAAATTCATTATTGTTACATCCTCAGCAGATATTCTGGGGAGTATCTCACGGGGAGGACTCTTTGAAGTTAGGCTAGATTTTCCCTATATATTCTGTGCCCTCAGATGAATAAACAGAGTCAGTAATTCTACTCCACCTGGCCCATGTCATAAGTTATTTCACGCCTCTCCGTTCAGTGTACAATCTGGTTGTGGGCAACAAGAGGAGTTGAAGTGAAGAAAAAAGAAGAAATATTCCTGCAACAGGGAATTTCTAAGGAAGGTTGAGGAAAATTAAATTGTGATTTTGGCAAAAGTCAAAGGGAGTATTAGATTATGCTAGAAGAGTATATTGGACTGAAATCATAGAGGGCTTTCATTGGCAGGCAATGGAATGAATACATCTTGTCATAGAATGTGAGGAGACTCTAGAGCAGTTGGAACTAGGGCTAGTCCTTCACATGTTTTAGAAAGCGAGAAAGCAGAGCTCATACAAGGGGGTACTTTGATTAATCCACTGGCAACTGAGGTGTTGTTGATATCTTTTGAGTCAATGGGAGATTTCAAGGTAAAATTTTGTAAGATGTAGTAAAAAACAGAAATAATTCCATCCAAGCCAGACTCTCACCAGCACATATCCATTTTCCTGAAAGAGACAAATATAAGGATTTGATATTTTAAACTTCTAAGCCATCTAGGCCACTTCTTTGGACTGTCAGGTAGCCCACTAACACTCAGTGGCATTAGGTGAAGAACTGTGTGCATTCCTTTCCTCTCTGGTCCTTGACTCCTTTGAAGAGCCAAGACAGAGAGGAAAAAGCCCTCCTGTATGCTCTCCCAATCAATCTCCCCTGAGCCAGAGCAAGTTCTGGATTTATATTCAGAGGAAAGGAGTCATTGTCTTAGGGAGAAACAATCCCTCATTTACAGTCTCAAGGAATAACTTTGTGGCTACCCACAGTGACTGCAATGAGGAAAGGTGACAGAAGAATGATCAAAGCTCTTTTGGAACCATCTATCACCATTTTGGACAGAAAACACCTCTGGAGTCTACCCCACAGCTTCATGGCCATCCAGCCACTTGTCTTAACTACTCACTTCTAGCTCTAACCCAAGTATTGTAACCAATTGAGCAGGGCATTGGAGACCACAATGTCAAGGATAGTTAGCTGCCTGCAACATTCTTGTCTGCCACTGCCAGAATGGACATCACCACCATTACCTAATAACCAGTAGGTTCCCCCAAGACTTGAAGGTGAAAGGACAGACCATCAGTTATAATTCTGTACCAATAGATCCTCATTAAAATATACATAGCTTGGGAAGGGGGTTCCATGCTCATGTGTCCTAGTCAAGAGTCACATTTCTATAAAATCATAAACTCTAAGATTAGACCTTCAGTGACCTTAGCCATAATGGTACCTGAGTAGTAGGCCTTAAGATAACCCAATCCCATTCCTTGGCTTGATAAAATACAAGATTATACCATGCTAACACAAAAGCCTGGAAGATTTATCTGAGAAGTAGCTCTGGTTGACAGTGCCTGGAGGATGGTTATTAATGTGGGGGGGGGGGTTGCTGTCACTCTGGTGCAGAACAGAGTGGCCACTATCTCAGTTCTGCCTCTTTTTTGGAACAGCTACTCTGAAACTCACTGATTTGTTGATGAACCTAGGCCTAAGGAGAATTAGAAGAATGATTTACTGTGTCTCCACCCTACTCCTGGTTATAGAAATTGGAAGGACCATAATGGTCAGCTAGACCAACCCAGTTTTTGGGCATGTAAGGTAACTGAAGCCAGAGAAATGAAATAATTTGACCAAGGTCACAAAAGTAATAAGGTCCTCTGAGTTATCATTCCATCTTTAATGTACATATTTAGATGAATGTCTTACCTGTTGAAAAAGGCATGAAAATAGTCGCTCTTCTTAAAGTTGCCACTTTCATCCAGGAAGTGACCTGGGTCAAACTGGTCTGGATTAGGGAACTCTTCATCATCATACAGAATAGAAGACAGCAATGGCATGATGGTGGTTCCCTGAAAAAAAGAGATACAAATAAATAATTAGAAATAAGAACCAAAGAATGTTGGAGCTGAAAGAGAATTTAGAACTATCACCTAGTCAAAACCCCTGATTTTAAGTATGGAAAGAGCCATCTTTTTAAATACCTCTTCTGATAGTAAGTTAGAAAGTCTACAATACTATTACGAGAGATGAAACTGAACTTTGACACTTGAGGAGTAGAATCAATAGTGATGAGTAAACAACAAAGGAGGCAGATTTCAGATTAAAAAAAGTTAATAAAAAGCTTTCAATCATTAGATCTATCAAAAGAGGAAAGAGCTGCTTGGGTGGACAATAAGCACACCAATCATGGATAAGACCAAGCAGATTCCAGATGATCTGAAGAGACAGAAATTAATTGTGACCTATGTCAGGATGTTGAAGAATAACATAATGTCACACAGACAAATAAGGCAAGAGCTGATAAACAAGTTGGGAGCTCTTCTTGAAGATGAAGAAACAAGATGTTCTGAGGAAGAAGCACTTGTTTGTAGTCTAAAGAATGGTAAAGGAAGTTCACAGGTGTTATCTGGCAAGACATCCAGGAAGAAGAAAAGAAGAACAGTTGGTGACTCCCTGTAGAAGGATACTGAACCAATTGTTTGCTGACAATAACTAGAATGGATAGTTCTGGGCAGCGAGGTAGCACAGTGGAAAGAGCACAAGCCTGGAGTCAGGAGGACCTGAGTTCAAATACAGACTCAGACACATAACACTTACTAGCTGTGTGACCCTGGGCAAGTCACTTAACCTCATTGCTTCACACACACAACACACACACACATACACACACACACACACACACACATGCACAAAAATAGACAGTGTTGCCATATTCCAGGAGCATATGTCCAAGAGATAGTGGAGAACCTTACAAAACAAAGGATACAACTACTACCCACATCTGGTGATTCACATGAGCAAAAATTGATACTACCATAAATCTGGGAAGCATTTCAAAGGTTTTGACATTAAGGGAAAAAAACCTAAAGACTTTAGGAGCACAGGTGGTATTCATTATGGTTGTAATTGGAAACAAAAGATTCAGAAAGTTAATGCAGATTTCAGAAGTGGACATCTTGTAAGAAGGTGTTTAAAAATGGATTTGGATTTCTGGACCACATCTTAGTAAAAATATAGACATGATGAACTCCTGACCAGGAGTGGAATGATGCATCTAGCAAAGGCTGGAACGGTGATGATTTTGATTTATTACAAATATAGTCAAAAGGCTTTTTTAATGCTTAAAGTGCTGTTAAAAAAGGTGGATTGGGATTTTAAGACAAGGAAGCAAATTTGACCTCAAAGGCATAAATAGGGCTTGGTATGATGAGATGCTTAAGAATACTGAAGTCCTGGAAAGACTATAACTTATTTAAAAGAAAGCAGATAGGAAAAAGAGAGTGGGGTAGTATATATTAGAAGAAACACTCGTGTGAGTTTATTTAGGGAGCAGAGGAAAGAAGAATGATGAGAAGCATCTAGGTAAAGAGAAATGGAGACAACATCAGAACTGGCATTGTCATTACAATATGCTACAGAATATTTGGATAGAAAAAAGTTTACAAGGAATACAGAAAACAAATTATAAGCTCTGGAGGTTAGACATGATATAGCAGTGATAGAAGACTTCAATTATCCTTTCGGATCCTAGAGTTTCACTTCCATCAAAAACAGAGCAGTTTGTAATTCCATGATTTTCTTAATGATAATTTCATCCTGCAATTATAGTGGAACCAGTTCTCACCATCTGAGAGGAACTTGGATAACAAAGATGTGAATAGAGATCTGCAGATCCCTCTGTGGCACAACATTCTTCCTCTGGAGGGATCATGCTGTGTTTCAGGATACGCAATCACACTTTACACACTTTCGGCACACTTATGGATGGTAATAAGGGGAATTTTTGGAAAGTGACCGTCCATCTTAGAGTTTATACAGGATCAACTAAGTGGCCCAATGGGAGAGTACAATACTTGGAGTCAGAAGGAACTGATCAGGCCTCAAACACTCACTAGCTATGTGACCCTGGCCAAATCACTTACCCTGTCTAGACTCAGTTTCCTTATTTGTAAAATGAGAATGATAACAGCACCTACATTTCAGCATTGTTATCAGGATGAAAAGGATAATATTTGTAAATTGTTTCACAAGCCTTAATGGTAGCTATTATTATTATCACAAAGAAAGAGAAGAGTTAAGTTTTCAACACAAAGAAAAAGAATTCTGGTGATGGAAGAAAAAGGAACATTCTCTAAAGATACCAATGTGGATAAGGTAGCCAGGTAGTGCAGCGAGGAGCCTGTTAGACCTGAAGTCAGGAAAGCCTTCATACAAATCCTGATTCATACATTTATTTATTGCGTGACCCTAGGTGAATCAGGGGTCTCTTTAAGACTTAGTTTCCTCACTTGTAAAATGGGGATAACAATAGCAACTATTCCCACAGAGTTGTTTTAAAGAATAAATGAGATCATCTATGTAAAGCAAATCTCAAAGTACTTTATAAACAATAGTTATTATTATTATAGGGAATTCACCAATTAACTTAGATTTTTTGAGGGTAAGGAAGAATAAAAGAAGCATGTCACAGTTCCATAGTGACAGAAGTGATAAGGACTAAATGCACAGAGGCTGATGCTGCAAACAGAGCACTACAAGAAGAGATTTTTTGGGGGTGGAGCCAAGATGGCAGAGTGAAAGCAGTGACTTGCTTAAGCTCTTCCCCAAACCCCTCAAATACTCATAAGAAATGGCTCTAAACAAATTCTGAAGAAGCAGAACCCACGAAAAGACAGAGTGAAGCAAATTTCTAGCCCAAGACAACCTGGAAGATTGATCAGAAAGGTGTATCACGCCAGGCTGGGAATGCAGCTCAGCTTGGGTGCTCAGGCTGCAGGGAACCTGGAGCAGGCCTCAGAGGAGTGAATCACAGGCAGCTGTAGAGGTTTCCAGACTCCTCAATCAACTAATGCCAAAGACAACTTAGAAGGTCAGCGGGAAAAGTCTGTTTCTCTTGATGCTGAGAAAGGAAGGCGGGTTCTCAGCTCCATTCCCCAAGAGCCTGGCCCTGGGGGGCCATGCAGCTGGTTCCCGAGCTTCTGGCTCACAGACTGAGGGGGAATCCAGTGGCTGATCAGAGAAGGATCGCAGGGATCTCTTTGCCAGTGTTAAGGCAGGAATCTCTTGCTTTGCCTGTGTTTGGATCTGGGTCACAGTTCTAGGAGGCGGTGCTGGGGGGGAGGAATGCTGACATGGTGGAGTTTGTACTGGCTGTGGAAAGGATTGCCTCTTCACTGTCACATGACAGAAAGGAATACTTGTGGTCACAGGCTAGGAAAGGAGTAAACACCTCAGCCATTATCATACCACCTTGGAAGAACTGAAAATTTGCAGGTCCCTAAAAGAATCTATGAAAACAGCTGTACAAACCTGAAGCTTGGGACAGTACATTCTCCACATTTGAAGCAGACTCTTAGCTTAACAAAGAGTTTCAAACTCAAGTAATTGGCCAGGATCATGAGCAAGCAGTGAAAAAAGAGTCACACTATATTACCTTACTTTGGTGAAAAAGAAGACCAAAATATACAACCAGAAGAAGACAACAATGTCAAAGCTCCCATCCAAAGCTTCCAGGAAAAATATGATGCAGTCTCAGGCCTTGGAAGAGCTCAAATGGGATTTTGAGAAGCAGTAAGGGACGTAGAGGAAAAACTGGGAAGAGAAATGAGAGTGATTGAAGAAAATCATGAAAAACAAGTCAGCAGCGTGCTAAAGGAGACCCAAAAAAATACTGAAGAAATTAACACCTTAAAAAATAGCCTAACCTAAATGGCAAAAGAGGTACAAAAAGCCAATGAGGAGAAAAACACCCTAAAAAGAAAAGTTGGCCAAATGGAAACAGAAATCCAAATGCTCAATGAAGAAAATATTTCCTTAAAATTAGGATAGAGGAATTAGAAGCTAGTGACTTTATAAGAAATGAAGACACTGTCAAACAAATGCAAAAGAATGAAAAATTAGAAAACAATGTGAAATATCACATTGGAAAACAATGGGCCTGGAAAATAGATCCAGGAGAGAGAATTTGAAAAGTATTAGACTATCTGGAAGCTTTGATCAAAAAAAGAGCCTAGACATCATCTTTCAAGAAATTATCAAGGAAAACTGCCCTGATATATTACAACCTAGAGGGCAAAATAAAAATTGAAAGAATCTACCGATTCCTTCCTGAAAGAGATCCTCAAAGGAAAACTCCTAGGAATATTATAGCCAAATGCCAGAGTTCCCAGGTCAAGGAGAAATATTACAAGCTGCCAGAAGGAAACAATTCAAATACTGTGGAAACACAATCAGGATAACACAAGATTTAGCAGCTTCTACATTAAAGGACCCAGGGCATGGAATGTAATATTCCGGAGGGCAAAGGACATAGAATTACAACCAAGAATCACCTACCCTGCAAAACTGAGTATAATCCTTCAGGGGAAAAAATGGTCTTCGGTGAAATAGAGGACTTTCAAGCATTCTTGTTGAAAAGACCAGAGCTGAATAGAAAATTTGACTTTCAAATACAAGACTCAAGTGGAAGATAAAGAGGTAAACAGGAAAGAGAAATCATAAGAGACTTATGAAGATTGACCTGTTTGCATTCCTGCATGGAAAGATGATATTTATAACTCACGAGACCTTTGTCAGTATTAGGGTAGTTGAAGGAAAAAAAATTAGATATGATAGATAGATAGATAGGTAGACAGACAGACAGAGAGATAATCAGAAAGAAGGCACAGGGTGAGTTGAAGATTAAGGGTCATATCTGGAGAATAAAATTAAGGGATGAGGGAGATTATACTTGGAGAAGAAGAAAGGGTGAGGTAGAATGGGGTGAATTATCTCACAAAAAAAAACCCAGAAGAGTCTCTTACAGTGGAGGGAAATGGGGGAAGATGAGAGGGAATGAGTGAATCTTATTCTCACAGGATTTGGCTTAAGGAGGGAATACATACACATTCAATTGGGTATGGAAATTTGTCTTACCCTGCAAGAAAATAGGGGAGAAGGGACAAGAGAGTAAGGGGATGATAGAGAGGAGGGCAGATTGGAAAAGGGTATAATGAGAAGAAAATACTTCTAAGGAGGAACAGGATAAGAAGAAAGAATAGAATAAATGGGAGGGCAGAATAGGATTAAGGGAAATAGAGTTAGTTTTTCACAACACGTCTACTATGGAAGTGTTTTGCATAACTGCACATGTACAACCTTTTTTAGTTGCTTGCCTTCTCAGTGAGGGTGGGTGGGGATGGAGGAAGAGAAAATTTGAAACTTAAAATTTTAAAAACATATGTTTAAAAAAATGTTTTCAGAAACTACCAGGAAGTAAGAAATATAGGAAATGGGGTACAGATGTCTATCCTGTTCTACAAGAAAATAGAAGGGAAGGGTATAAGAGAGTGGGAAGAGAAAGAAAAGAGGACAGAGTAGGGGAAGGGATATTCAGAATGCATACCATCTTGGGGTGGGGGAAGGTTGAGACGGGGTGAAAATTTGGAACTCAAAAACTTGTGGAAATGAATATTGAAAACTACAAATAAATAAATTTATGTTAAAAAAAAAAAGGGAAGAGATTTTTTAAAACTATGTTGTGAAAAAGAGGAGGATTAAAGAAAGAATAAACCCAAAACCCAGAGGCTTAAAGGACAAGGATAACAAGTGACAAGAAAAGATGCATAACTTCTCAATTTTTCTTTTGCTTCTGTTTTTTTTTCTGACCAAGGGAATGATCTTTGAACTGAAAAGGGTGGAATAAATAAATAGATAGAGGTAACACGGATAGAATACCCCAAGGAAGTAAGGAGAAAATTAGGGAGCATCTAGACACCTTACCAAGAAAATAAAGTGAAAAAAGCACACTTCAATCTGCACTCAGAGTCTAGAAGATATTTCTAAAGAGATCATTAATCTAGCAAAGGAAGTAATGAGGCAATGATTTGAGAAAAGGAGGTAGTGATCACAAGGATCTGCAGTGGAATCATCATTATTTCATTTTTTGAGAATATTAATAAACTGGTAGATCAGGAGAATGACATACATAGACTTTTCTTAGATTTTAGCAAAGCATTTGATAAAGATTTTCGTGCTCTTCCTCTGAAAGTGATGGAAATATACAGGTTAGACTATCACACCACTAGGTGGATTGAAAACTGATGACTGACCATATACTAAGGGCAATTATTGAAGGTTCAAAGACAGCTTGGAAGTAGTACTGTGGTCTCCTCAGCTCACAAATGAGGATTGTATTCCTTCTGTGAATCATATCTTAGGAGGACGCTGAAGAGCTGGAGGTACTCAAGGGAGGGCAACCAGGATGGTAAGAATAACAAGTCCATGCCACGTGAGGATGGGTTGAAGGAAACAGGGATATTTAGACAAGAGAACAGGAGACATAACAGAACAGGAGACATAGTAGCTGATTCCAAGTGTTTCATGGAGTTTTACTAGAAAGAGAGAGGAACTTTGTTCTGTTTTTTCTGGGAGTCAAAACCAAGAGCAATAGATTAAAGTTACAAAATTGTCAACTTAGGCTTAATACAAGATAAAACAAATTCTCTGTCCAAGATTAGAATAGAATTTCTCAGCAACAAAGTGGTTCCACCTCATTGAAAATCTTTAAGCAAAGATTAGATGACCACGAGGTGAGCATACAGTAGATGGAATCCTTTTTCACATTGGGAATGGACACTATGACCACTGAAATACTTTCAAATTCTGAAATTCTGGGACTACTTCTCAGGGATGTGGGTGGGCCTGAGGTTCCTTCTAACTCCAAGATTCTAGATTTGAATGAGACAGTATAAAATCTTGTGTTATATTGAGAAACTCTTCTGACCCTGGGGATAAGATATTGTCTAAATTGAACATCTTCTGACACCACATGGGGCAGGCTGGTGGGAATGAGGTCAATGTATCGCTGTGTCTCATGTATCACAGCATTGCTGTAAGGCATGTTGTTTCTGTCCTCATGCAGGGACTTCGATTTCAGCCAATCACAGAATCAATTTCTTCATGAAGTTTTCCTGTCACAATGCAAATGAAAAATTTATCTTAAAAGTAGAGATAAAAGCTGCCTTTGCTCATATTTTCTCTGATTTTTCACTGAGTTACATTGATAAATAATACACTTGACTGATATTTCAATAGATAGAGAGAGATGAAAATTCCATTTTAGACACTTTTTAAAAAAATATAAATTTATTTATTTTTAGTTTTCAATATTCACTTCAACAAGTTTATGAGTTTCAAATTTTGCCTCATCTCACCCTCCCCCCACCCCAAGATGGCATGTATTCTGAATACCCTTCCTCTAGTGCGTTCCTTTCTTCTATTCTTAACCCCTTCTCTTATCCACTTCCCCTTCTATTTTCCTGTAGGGCAGGATAGACTTCTATACCTCATGTCCTGTATTTCTTATTTCCCAGTAGCATGTGAAAACATTTTTTTAACATGCTTTTAATACTTTAGGTTTCAAACTTTCCTCTTCCTCCCTCCCCACCCACCCTCATTGAAAAGGTAAACAACTCAATATAGGTTATATATGAGCAGTTATGCAAAACACTTCCATAGCAGACATGTTGTGTAAAACTAACTCTATTTCCTTTAATCCTATCCTGTCCTCCCATTTATTCTATTCTTTCTTTTGACCCTGTCCTCCTCAGAAGTATTTCCTTCTGATTACCCCTTTCCCAATCTGCCCTCCTCTCTATCATCCCCTGCTCTCTTGTCCCTTCTCCCCTTTTTACTGCAGGGTAAGTCAGATTTCCACACCCAATTGAATGTTATTCCCTCCTTAAGCCTAAGCCTATGAGAATGATTCACTCATTCCCTCTCACCTTCCCCTGTTACCCTCCACTGTAAGAGACTTTTCTGTTTTTTTTTAGATAATTTACCCCATTCTACCTCTCCCTTTCTTCTTCTGAGTATCATCCTCTCTCATCCCTTAATTTTATTCTCCAGATATGACCCTTTAATCTTCAACTCACCCTGTGCCCTCTATCTATCTATCTATATATACATACACATATATTTTTTTCCTTCAACTACCCTAATACTGATAAAGGTCTCATGAGTTTAAATATCATCTTTCCATGCAGGAATGCAAACAGTTCAATCTTAATAACTCTCTTATGATTTCTCTTTCCTGTTTACCTCTTCATGTTCCAGTAGAGTTCGTATTTGAAAGTCAAATTTTCTATTCAGCTCTGGTCTTTTCAGCAGGAATGCTTCAAAGTCCTCTATTTCACTGAATGACCATTTTTCCCCTGAAGGATTATACTCTGTTTTGCTGGGTAGGTGATTCTTGGCTGTAATCCTATCACCTTTACCCTCCAGAATATTATATTCTATGCCCTGTGGTCCTTTAATGTAGAAGCTGCTAAGTCTTGTGTTATCCTGACTGTGTTTCCACAGTACTTGAATTGTTTCATTCTGGCAGCTTGTAATATTTTCTCCTCGACCTGGGAACTCTGAATTTGGCTATAATATATCTAAGAGTTTTCCTTTGGGGATCTCTTTCAGGAGAAGAATCGGTGGATTCTTTCAATTTCTATTTTGCCCTGTGGTTCTAATATATCATGGCAGTTTACCTCAATAATTTCTTGAAAGATGATGTCTAGGCTGTTTTTTTGATCATGGCTTCAGATAGTCCAATAAGTTTTAAATTCTCTCTCCTGAATCTATTTACCATGTCAGTTGTTTTTCCAATAAGATATTTCACATTGTTTTCTAATTTTTCATTCTTTTGCATTTGTTTTACAGTGTCTTGATTTCTCATAAAGTCACTAGCTTCCAATTGCTCTATCCTAATTTTTAAGGAAGTATTTTCTTCATTGAGCAGTTGGACTTCCTTTTCCATTTGGCCAATTTTTCTTTTTAGGGTTTTTCTCCTCATTGGCTTTTTGTACCTCTTTTGCCATTTGGATTAGGCTATTTTTTAAGGTGTTATTTTCTTCAGTATTTTTTTGGGCCTCCTTTAGCAAATTGTTGACTTGTTTTTCATGATTTTCTTCAATCACTCTCATTTCTCTTCCCAGTTTTTCCTCTACGTCCCTCACTAGCTTCTCAAAATCCCATTTGAGCTCTTCCAAGGCCTGAGACTGTTCATATTTTTCCTGGAGGCTTTGGATGTGGGAGCTTTGACATTGTTGTCTTCTTCTGGTTGTATATTTTGATCTTCTTTTTCACCAAAGTAAGATAATACAGTCTGACTCTTTTTGCTCTGTGTGCTTATGATCCTGGCCAATTATTTGAGTTTAAACTCTTTGTTAAGGTAAGAGTCTGCCTGCAATGTGGAGAATCTACTGTCCCAAGCTTCAGGTGTTTGTACTGCTGTTTTCAGAGATACTTCTAGGGACCTGCAAATTTTCAGTTCTTCCAAGGCGGTATGATAAGGGTGCGGTGTTTACTGCTTTCCTAGCCTGTGACCAAAAGTATTCCTTTCTATCCTGTAACTGTGAGGAGGGCTCCTGTTCCCAGCCACAAGTTCCTCTATGCCAGCGTTCCTCTTCACCCCAGCACTGTCACCTAGAACGTGATCCAGATCCATACATGGGTAAAGCAAGAGATTTCTGCCTCAGCATTGGCAAAGAGATCCCTGCAATGCCTCTCTGATCAGCCACTAGATTCCCCCTCAGTCTGTCATCTAGAAGCTCAGGAAGCTGATGCCCTCCCCCATGGCCATGCTCTTGGGAATGGAGCTGAAACCCTGCTTTCCTCTCTGAGCACCACAGAAACAGACTTTTCCCACTGACGTTCTAAGTTGTCCCTGGCAACTGAGGATTGAGCAGTCTGGAAACCACCACAGCTGCCCACAATTCAGTCCTCTGAGACCTGCTCCTGGTTTTCTGTGGCCTGCGCCCCAGGCCACACTGCACTGCACTCCCATCCTGGGGTGATACACCTTTCTGATCAATCATGTAGGTTGTCTTGGGCTGGAAATTTGTTTCACTCCATCTTTTTGTGTGTTCTGGTGCCTCAGAATTTGTTTAGAGACATTTTTTATGAGTATTTGGAGGGTTTGGGGGAGAGCTTAAGCAAGTCACTGCTTTCACTCTGCCATCTTGGCTCCACCCCTCCAGTTTAGTCTCTTAAACTAGCTGAGCATCACTTAAGGCACCTATGTCCCATGCCCATAAGAAAAGGTCAGGTGTCCTTAAATAAATGAAGCCAAGTACACTTGATGTAGGAAATGAGGAGGGTTCTCATCTGGACCTGTTCTACAACTTAATATGACCAACCATATGCCCAAGGTATTTCCCTCTGCAGCTGTAGAGTGACAGGAATCCAGAGGCACCAGCTCCTTCTGTGGTCAAGTAGCATCAAGAAGCTATCAGGAACCAGTGCCTTCAATCATTCAGTTCTTCCCACTTCTAGCACTGGGCTCCAGTCTCTATTCACTTCACTATCTGTGTGGCTACCTCTAATAATAACTCACAATTATATACCACTTCACTAAGCAAGGTGGAAGTAGTGGTGGAGAAGGAGGAATAAGTAAACTTGAACATGTAATGACTTAAATACATTAAAATGGCAATAAAAAAGTTTCCAAGGAAAGTCTCAAAAGGACCAGGAACCCCTCTCATGTGGATTAAATTGTATGTGTTATTATCCTTTATCCCACCTTCTATCTCAGGGTATTTGAGGAGAAGCAGGAGTCCATATCTCAGGGTGGTGCTGGTTGTCTCTGTTCCTGCAGCAATAGTCACTTATAGTGTGGACCAAGTTTTCAATGGTAAATTCAGATTGTGGTTGTTGCTTTTCCTAAGAATGATTTGGTATGATTAATGGAAAAGTAAGAGAGGCAGCAGGGCAAATGGAAAGCATAAGGATTTGGAAGCAGAGGACCTTGGTTTAAATCTAAGTTCTGATATTTTTTTTTAATGTTGGGGGGAGGCAAACTGGGTTCAATGACTTGGCCATGGTCACACAACTAGTTAAGTGTCTGCGGCCAGATTTGAACTCAGATGCTCTTAACTTCAGGGCCAGTGCTCTATCCACTGTGCCACCTAGTTGCCCCCAACACACCACCAGCTCTATCATTGACCTTAGACAAGTCATTTAACCATTTTATGTTTCAGTTTCCTCATCTGTAAATGAGGGAGCTGGATTCAATTACCTCCAAGATCCATTTCAGTTCTAAATCTATGACCCTGTAAATAAATTAAATTGAGCAACACAATCCAAAGCAGAACAAGTAGCTAGCAATTATGAAAGCATTTTGGCCCTTGCATCTCACATATGAGAGAGAGACAGAGAGAAGAAAGATACGTGGAGGATGGGGGATATATACAGACAGACAGACAGACAGAAAGAGACTAGACCTGCAATATCATGGCACAGGTTACTTCCAGGTAAAAAAAAAATCTGTCTGCCAATGCAAGTCTGCACTTTCTCTGAAAAACTTAAAGTTTCTAGAGAGTTGCCAGCCCTAGGGCACTATAGTGTCAAGTGATTTGCCCAGGATCACATAGACTTTTTGTGTCAGAGGGTCTTAAACTCAGTTTTGCCTGGCTCTGAGGGCAGCTCTTTATGTGCTACAACAGGAGGGTCAAACTCAGCTCTCAGGCCTCAAGCCACCAACAAAACGTGTGTGGCTGAAACCACATTAAAATGTAATTGGGAAATGTTTAGTAAAATAAATACAGATATAATACTACATAGAGAATGTTAATTTCTGCATTTTCTAGTTAATATGAGGCCTACCAGGATCCATTTCTATTCATGTTTGACACATACTGTATGATACTAACTTGCAAGATATCTGTGCTTACATATTATATATCATTCATATCTGTGGGTATACACAAGCAGCTAGGTGGTGCACTGGGTTGAGTTTAAATCTGGCTAACTGCCTGTGTGATCCTGGACAAATCACTTAACCTTGGTTACCTCAGTTTCCTCATCTATAAAATGAGCTAGAAATGGAAAACCACTCCAGTATCTTTGCCAAGAACACCCAAATGGAGTCATGAAGTGCTGGACTGAACTGAAATGACTAAGCAACAAATGCACAATGACTGCATGTAAGCTCTTGTTTTTCTTGTGGATTAAATTCTGTTATTCTACGTTTACTGAGATGAACAGGATTTATTAGTTTAGCAAATAAGGAGGAAAAAAATTATCAACTTCCATATATATAACAATTAATGCAAAAAGGATCCATGTATTTTCCCATTTTATCCTCATCAAAATACTGTGATACAGTTAGTGCATTATTATTGTCATTTTACTAATGAGGAAATTGAGGTGGTAAATGCTTTGCCCTTGACAATGAGATGTTGATATGAGGAAAACTCACAACTGAGACCAGAAATTGAATATATAACAAATAACCAATGGACTAAAGATAAGAAAAGTAAAAACACAGGAAAAAGCAGGCAGGTGCTAGGGCATAATTCAAGTTGAAGTCAACTAAGGTCTATGCTCACTGTGAGTGTGGTGGTGGGGAAAGGATATGGAATTCTGAAGATTCTCACACATGAAACACAAGAGACTACTGTACATATTAGTTCTAAAAATCTCTTGCTCTGGTCTACATATTTGCCCTCTCCCACATTCCTCATCTACCAGTGGAGTAGGAATCTGTGGGAGAATATACCCTTATGTGCATAGGTTGATGAAGGAAGGATTTTCCTGGTCAGTTATGTTGACACATTGCTAAATTAAATGTTTCTGAATTAATGTGTTTTTTGGTTCATGTGGTAAGAAAACCATAAGTCATGACCTCAGAGCACATTTATTGCTTAAGTAGGTCATTGATCCATTTCAGCATTCCATCAGCATATCTTTTACCTTCTCCATGTTTCTCTGGTACTTTCTGGGTTTCATTTACTCCATATGAATTACATTAGCATATTGTTTTATTCTAGTTTTGCTTCTAATTCGGTGGATTTTTTTTTCTTTATGCAACTTTTCAATGATTTTTCTTTCTTTTTGTTTTGCTCTTTGTTGTTTATGGAATGGTGGAAAGTGAGAGCCTCTTACTCCACTATCTTGACTGTAAAACCCACCAACCTCCCCCTAGTACTTACCACAGCAGCCCCTCCATTCCAATTAGGCTGCTCAGATTAAAGTTCCCTATTCCACTGTCTTTGTAGAGTCTTGAAATGTCCTGCCCAGTCCTCACTGTTAAGCTCTGGGACCTCCTTCAAAACCCAGACTAAAACCTAACTCTTCCAGAAGGAAGTCTTATGTTAACCCAGTCCAAATATTATCTTTCTTGCTAATTTCAAATTCCTTCATCACTTAAATCCTCAATTTTAATCTATTTTGGCTTTCCTTACACATTCCTGATAATTATTCTTGTCCTTACATGGGCTTTCTCCTGTCTGTTGGGTTAGAAATTCATCAGGGCTAGGACCCTGTCTTCTCATTCTTCTCATATAGTGTTCTGGCCATATTATGATTAAAATATGATTATTTACTGCTCTATGTTTGTGAATGTGAATGTCAGCCTCTAAGACACAAGCCATTTCACCTACAAAAGTGAGATTCAGACCTGCTGCTGACACTCTACCTGCTCCATTTTCATCAGGAAACAATCAATAAAGTCCCGAGGATTGCTGGGATCCAGTGTTCTTTGGTGTTCCTTCACTTCTTCCAAAATAAATTCAAGTATTGATTGCATATTTTTAATTGCTTTGTGATGAGATCCAGGGAGATAATGCACTAGAGATGGAAAAGAATTGTAGACCTAAAAAAAGAATTTGTATCATACTTTATTAGAAAAAGAAAATAATTTTCTACTTAGCACTTGGATCATGTTGAGAATACGGCTGAGTAAGGGTGGGACAAGTGCCCTTTGGAAAATAGTGACTTTTCTCATCATTCCTAGAAATGCCCTAAAAATTAGCATCTGTTCCTTGGTTGCCTGAAACTCTTTGGCTTTCACTCTCAATTCTTACTTCCAACGGAAAAGTTCTCATCCTTTCTCATTTTAAGGTCTTCTAAGAGCTCAGCCTCCACCTTCCATTGGGACAGCTAACTCATCTTCTAACCTGATCCAAATTGGGTGCACAAGGGAAAAGTCAGCTTGTCTCTAGTAACATGAATTTAACATTCAGTCCTGTGACCAGTGGGTGAACTACTCCAGGGAGGGGCCTTATAATGTCTGTCAAATCAGACCACATAGGGTGACCTTTTCTGTCTTTAGTCCTTGTCAATAAAGAAGAAAATGGGAACCCATTTCCAACATGGCACTATTGTACCTCCCAATGGAATGAATGATGAATTCTAGCCTAGCTGCTTGTAGTAGTTTCTTTGAAGTAATTTAAAAAAATATTCTGAGCTCAAAGAGAGACACTGGTCTCACCTTCATCCATGGGGAACTTATGATCTTGACATTTTCATTCAAAAGCTTCATTAAATATAGAAATTTCTGGTCTTTATATTCAAAACATTTCTGGAAAATGATAGAGCAGATTACATTGCAAGGAGCAACTCAAGGATGAATGTGGGGTCACATGGTAATCCTAAAGGAGAAAGAGAGAAAGAAAGACTTTAATACTGCCATTGTGATAGAAAGGAAGATTTGCCTGCCTTTAGGTAGGACCTGACTGTCCCTTCTAGTTTACATTCTAGCTTGGACAGCAAGGTTGAAAATAAACCACCCTTTATGAAGCATCTGATTTCATCCACATGAGAATCCTAAGTGCAAATAGGATAATTTCCATTTTATAGGTGAGGTTGCTGAGGCTCAAGAAAATCAGTGATTTATGTGCCACAGCTAGGAAGGATGAAGATGTGGAATGCAACCCAAATTCTCTCCTGTCCCCAAGTAACTGTTCTTCTTACCATGCACCATCCCTTCCCATTTCTAAATCCATATTCATCACCTCACTATAACCAACTTTTACTTTCAGACTTATTCATGTCTATTTTTAAATTATATTTCATTTCATTTCAATCACTTTCCCAGAATGAGGGTTGCAGGCACTGGTCTGGAAGCCTTGCTATTCCAAATGCTCTTAGGTTCAGGGTTCTGGGTTGTCAAAGGATTGATAATGTCAAGGTGGTGATTCTAGGTTTCCTTGACTGGCCTCTTGTCTCTCCCTTAGGGTGCCTCACTGTTTTAGCAAGGCTGGCCCATCTGCCTTATGAATAGCAATTGGCTGGCAGCTGGTGGCAATGGACAGTCCCTTTTCCACAGGAGTTGCTTCCTCAGATGAGAGCTATCAGGGCTGACCAGGACCAGTGGTCTAGCTTGCTGCCACCCCTGTGGCCCTCATGCACATGTACCTATTGGTGGCAGTTATCAGTTGTTGCTAGTGGTAAAGAACAGATGGGCCCCTTCTCCACAAGGTAGCTCCTGTGACGCTCGTTTTGCTGTTTCCCAGCTCTTGGGTTTTCCTGAGCTGCCTCCATCAGGTCAGAGGGGAGATTGTGGTTGAGGTGGTGGCTATGCTAAAGACGCCCAAGGCCAGAGTCTTGGAGATATTCACACTCAGGGGACTGAAGGTGGATGGTGATCCAGCAAAAGAATATTGAGAAGCAAAAATCAGGCCCAAAGAAGAACAGTGGAGAACAGCATGATAGAGGTAAGGGAGAAGAGAGTATCAATCAGCCAATCTGCCAGCAGTCACTTAGCTCTTACTAGGCTCTGTGCTAAGCACCAGGGGTAAGCAGATAATAGTAAAACTTCCCTGCTCTCAGAGGGCTTACATTATAATGAGGGAGGCAATATCTACACAAAAGAGTGGC